ATTCATTTTCTCTTTAAATGCGATCGGATAGTCGAAATCAAACGTGATGAACGGTTCAGATTTAAGAGAGACAGGTATAAATATCTCGTATCACACCGAACCCAAACCCTAACCACCAGTCTCTCGTCGGAGGAGAAGAACCAGTTGCCCGAGAAGGGAGCCGACAACCACCCGCCACCGCGCTGGATCCACCTCCAACCGCCAAAAAAGGTAAAAATTCTTCTATGTGCTTGGAATTTGATTCCGAACACCCCCATGGCCAAATCAGAGCATAAAACTGGCGGATGAGCCGAAAATTACGGGTAAAGCCTGGCGGTGCCGCCGCGGGTAAAATCCAAAATCGCCATCGATGAGCCCCTTCTCGTTTTTCGTTTCGTATGATTTTTTCATAATTGTGTTCACATTATATTTTCTACAAGTTGACTGAAAAAAAATGCCCAGCCGCTGCGTCGAAAAATTTCACTGTCGGCAAGTTTTTATTTTTTGACTTTTTTTCTACCAAATGAGGCTCCCAAATGTGTTTTCTCGCAAGAATGAGTATAAAAACTGACTAAAATCGATTTTATTTTTCGTTTATTTCTTTAATTTTCGTTTGTTCTTTTAGAATGGACATTTTCGTAACTTTATTGGATATTTTAAACTTTCGTGTAAGAAATGTAAACTCTAATTCTATTATTCTGCTTTCACATTCAATTCATGTCTTTATTTCATTTTAAATTCCGGATCTTTAATTTTTGTAATCGAAATTTTTTTTTAAATATGAATTTTTTTTAGTTATAAAGGAAAGCAAAGCAAATACAACTAATGAAAAGAATCACACATAGATATTACACAGTTGGATAAGAAGACACCAATAATTTTCTCGCAAAGGACGTGCAAAAGTCTTAGGGGAGGTTGCGGTAGAAAGTACTAGAAGATGGAATATTATTTGTTTATGTTAGATATTTATTATCTCTGAAAAAATGGGAGCCAACTTGTTAAAGAGTTTACTTGGTTCCAATAATTTAAATATATTTATATCTATATGTTTAATTTTTAATAAAATTTCATATAGTTTATTAATATCTGATGGGTACATATTAACAACGATACAAACTCTTAGTAAGAAGGCCACACTTTAAATTAATCATAACCAAACACCAACAAACATAGATAATTGAAAAACAAACATTGCACCCAAACCTTACAAGATATATATATGTAAATTATAAGTATATATGAGTAGTAGAGATGATAGCAGCGCGCTCTATGGTTGCTCGACGAGATGAGCATCAATGTCTTTGGAGAGGGCGACAAGAAAATCAAGCAAAGTTTCGGGATGAACAATTTCATCATGCAGCTTCTCATATTCAAAAATCCAGTGCACTCTGCTGCCTTCACCATTTTCCTTTGGAATAGCTTGGAAAGTAATTCTGAAGCTCTTGTATTCCTCCATCAGGTCTCCTCCAATAAGATGGAACGTCATTAAATTATTCTCATAATCAATCCTGTCAAGTATCTGCTTCGAAGTCTTCGCCTTCCCATCTGACGTTTTTTTTTAGATCATATAATTTAACATTAATTTCAAAATAATTTGAAATATTGAAATATATATATGTTATAATAATATATAATTACCATGAACATAACTCCAGCAGATAACGGTGCCTTCTTTTCCCCAATCACCTTCATGTAAATCACAAGCTTGAACCTTGTCGAAGTTGATGTTGGAGATGTGATGTGGCCTGTGAGTAAATACTTGATGAAACTTGGTAGCAGGAGACTTGATCTCTGCATCTGCTTCTAGTCTACCGTGCAGAGACATTTTCTTTTTCTAGTGTATAGATGTTAACCGATAATACTGAAGAATTTTTCTTTAAAACACAATCAGATATCTTTCGTTGAGACAATATACTTCAGCCAGCCATACACGTTCTTTAATAGGGTACTTAGCTCGGCTGTCACCATCACGATGTGTTTATTTTTTTTATTTATTTTTTTTATAATCTTTTTTTAAAGTAAGAATTATATTAGTAAAATGAAAACTAAGAAATTTGATCAGTTTTTAACTTGGTTTATTATGAAAAACAAAACTAAACTCTTCAGGGCATTTTTAAAAATTTATAAAATATTAGAGTTCATTTTACAAAATATTTATATTAATAAATAAATTATTTTATAATTGAAAACATAATTTTTTTTTCTTTTCTAATATAAATTATTTAAGTAATACTATTAAGATATATAATACTAATTAATGTTTTAATTTATTATTGCATCCCTTAACATCAATTTGGAAAATATTTTTATTTTTAAAAATTAAAATAATTATCATTCTTCTTGTTGCAATTTTAACAATTCCTGTTTCGTAACAAACCAGCAAACTGATTTCAATCTTGATTTTGATTTTTTAATCCCGTCGATTCTTAACCAATTTTGTAACGGCCCCGGAAAATATTAAAATGAAATGAGTATTTAAATCATATCGAATGCGGAAGCGAGATCAAAATTTCATTTAACATCCCTTACACAAAAAACCAAACAAACGTACTTAAAATATAAAAGGTTAAACTAACTAAGAAAGGAAACTCGAAAATAAACTATGCGTATGACTACAGAGTCTCTAGGCATCCCCTTCGTCGTCCTCCTGCGGAACGGGCTCGGGAACCATGTCTTCCTGATCTGAAATGGTTAATTAAGGAGTGAGCTACACTAGCCCAGTAAGAACATCACGATATCTCACCGTCACGGAGATAAAGGTGGGTA